GGCCGCCTGTCGAGCTGAGCGCAAGAGACACTTGCAAGACATCCGCAAGCACGACGCGGGTGACTTCATGCAGTGCTTCCTGCAGCCGCCCACCGCCGCCGCCTGCCGCGACCGCGATGGCGCCCCCCCGCTGGGCGTCCTGGCCACGGCCATCTCGACTGCTGCCGCCGCCACCGGCCACGTTCCGAAGCGGGGTCGGTGGAGGCCGCCGCCTGGCGACGAGCAGCTGCTGCAGCTGCAGGCGCTGGAGAAGGCACGCGCAATGGAGGACGACCCGCGAGTGCGTCATCTGCTGGGGCCTGCGGTCTGCCGTGCCAAAAGGGCGCTGCGCGACCGCTGCGCGGCGGTCCACTTGGAACGACTGCGCGACCGTGGCAAGGCGGACCGAGCCTTCAAGTCGGGCCGTCCCGTCTTCAGCTTAGAGACGGCGAAGGGCGAGCTCGCGCTGACGGGCGCAGCACGCAGAGCGGAGGCCTACGCCTTCTACACGGAGCTGTTTCAGGACCCGAACAGCGACGTCGCGCTGCCCGACTGGGTGCACCGCCAGCGGGCCCCCGAGGAGCAGCAGCGCGAGGTGCCGTTCAACCGGCCGCTGCTGAAGATGTGCATTGGTCGATTGAAAAATGCAGAATCTTGTGATGAATCAGACATGATCGTAGGAGAAGTGATCCATGGGGCTCCAGGGTGACGTTATCACTCAGCTCTTGGGCGCCTATCGGCTTCGCGTTCAGAATCATGGTCTGGAGTTCTTCGATGAAGCCTGGAGCCACCACGTTGTGCAGCTCATTCGGAAGGTACCCGAGGCCAGAACAGTTTCGTAGATTAGACCTATCGCCCTGATATCGGTGCTACAGACAGTGCGGAGCCTGATGATTTTAGAAACCCAACGGGGTGCAATTGAGACAGACAGATGCGAGCCGCAGTTTGCGTCTCGTAGAGGATATCAAGCACACGAGATCATTCATAGCATGCGCCATCTTGTAGAGAAGTTTTGTGAGTACAGGGACCCGCCACTTGTGGTCGTGGGAGGTAATCTCAGAAAGTTTGATCATTATATCTCGCACCCCACCCTAGCTAGACGCCTCGAGGACCATGGAATCTCGAGGGTCGCGGCGGGGCTCTGGATTCGGGAGACCCGCAGGAGTGCCACGCGCGTCCGCGTGCCTGGGAACGCTCTGACCGAGCCGATCCGCCGTGACAAATCCTTGATCCAGAGTGGCCCCGCGGCCCCCGAACTCAGCAATATTTATTTGGATGCCTGTTTACATGAATTTCAAGTTTTGTGTCGCCAGAACGGCTGGGGAGTTCTATTGACTTTCCAGGGAGAAGAGGATGTTCCCCTCGGAGTTTTAAGCTTTGCAGATAACTTTTGGATTTTCGCTCGGTCGGTCTCGATGGCCAAAGAAATGACCGAGGAGTGGCTGCGGATTTTGAACCGCAATGGGCTTCAGGTCCCAGTAGAAGAGATGGAGTGGTGCCACACATATCCCACATATATCGGCACGCTTCGCGTTCGCCAACAGCTTGTCCCATGCCGATACAGAGATGTCGGCTTGAAAGTTTTGGGAACTTTTATCGCTTTCGATCGGAGCTGCACGCACGAGGTGTGCAATAGAATTCAACGGGCCTGGCGCACTTGGGCAGTTCACAGAGCCATGCTGACGAATCCCAAGATTTGCCTGCAGAAAAGATTGCGAGCACTAGACAGATGTGTCCGCCCTGCCCTGACATATTGTATAGGTAGCCTCCACATCACGGTCTCTTCTGTGAGTAGGATTTCGAAATGCCATAATACGATGCTCCGCCGTATGATCAAGACTCCTAACGGCGAAACTGCTGCTGAATTTATGAAGGCCGCCTTTGCCACTGTCCTGGACGCCCGTACACGTTACAACCTCGAGACCTGGCCACAGACATGCCGCCGAATGCAGCACGTCTGGGCAGGCCACCTTCGCTCCGTCGCTCGATCGGCACCCGACCGTATCGCGTACCGAGTCCTCCGTTTCCAGGATCGCGCCTGGATGACCGCCATGACCAGATGGCAGGGCTCCCAGTTGCACCATCGCACGGTCGGAATCTGGAGGTGGGAGCGAGATTTTTTGAAGTTTTATGGTGACGATTGGCTCCTAGTCCCCCGCGATGGGCTATCTTGGAGAGATGGACAACGGGAGTGGCTTGAATGGCGCCGCAATTTAAGATGACCCCAGACACAGCTTGTAATCTAGCCTCTATGCGCGGCGCCGGGCCCAGGAGGCACCCCTGCAGGACGCCTAACGAACGAACGAACGAATCACACGATTCGCAGCACCATAGGGAGCTCCACCGACGGCCCCAACGGTTGCGTTCGAATGCGCCCACCGCACCTATCTCGACACACTCCTCACGCGCTTCCTGGTCCCACAGGGGATTCTACCGACGGCCCCACAGGGAGGTCCACCGAAGCCCCCAGTGCCACCGCGTGCATGCGTCACGCACATCCATGTCGGCACACCCCTCACACGCTTCGTGGCCCCATAGGGTGTTCCTCCGAAGGCCCCAGTGCCACCGCCCGCATGCGTCACGCACGCCCATGTCGATACACCGCTCACACGCTTCGTGGCCCCACAGGAAGTTCCACCGAAGGCGCCAGTGCCACCGCCCGCATGCGCCACGCACACCCATTTCGGCACACCCCTCACACGTTTCGTGGTCCCATAGGGTGCTCCGCCGAAGGCCCAGTGCCACCGCCCGCATGTGTCACGCACACCCATTTCGGTACACCCCTCACACGCTTCGTGGCCCCAGAAGGAGCTCCACCGAAGGCCCCAAGGCTACCGCCCGCATGCGTCACCCACGCCCATGCCGGCACACCCCTCACACGCTTCGTGGCCCCACAGGGAGCTTCACCGAAGGCGCCAGTGCCACCGCCCGCATGCGCCCACGCACACGCATTTCGGCACACCCCTCACACGTTCTGTGGCCGAAGGCACCAGTGCCACCGCCCGCAGGCGCCACGCACACCCATTGCAGCACACCCTTCACACGCTTTGGCCCCAGAAGGAGCTCCACCGAAGGCCCCAAGGCTACCGCCCGCACGCGTCACCCACGCCCATGCCGGCACACCCCTCACACGTTTCGCGGCCCCACAGGGAGCTCCACCGAAGGCGCCAGTGGCTGTGTTCACATGCGCCCACCGCACCCATTCTGGTACACCCCTCACACGCTTCGTGGCCCCACAGGGAGGTTCACCGAAGGCCCCAGTGGCTGTGTTCGCATGCGCCCACCGCACCTATTTCGGCACTCCCCTCACGCGTTTCGTGGCCCCATAGGGAATTGCACCGACGACCCCAATGGCTGCGTTCGCATGCGCCCAGCGGACAAATATTGGCACACCCTTCACACGTTTCGTTTCCATGTAAGGAGCTCCTCCGAATGCAGTGCATACAACGACGGTACTTTCAACTGCATATGGTTGGGTCCTTCTCCAGGCTAATTTCGGATTGTACGAACCTGCCCGAAATCTAAAATTACACCAGAGAAAAAAATCAATCAGTGCATGAGTGAGGTGAACAGTGAGATCGATCATGAGATCGATAGTGAATCGTGGGATCGATAAAGAGATCGATAAGGAGATCGACTGGGAACCAGGGAGCCTGGGAACCCGGCACCCACCGAAATCGGCGCGGAACCAATAACCAGGAACCAGGGAACCCAGAACCGGAAACCCGGGAACCCAGTCGGCTACCAAAATCGGCGGGAAATGTTCGCCAATTTTTTCAATATTTGCCAGGACCCCTTCAGTGCAAGCACTGATTGGGGAAAGAAGAGAGTGAAGTGCCGCGCGCCGCCTGTGTGTATGGGTTTTGGAGGGGGCCATCTTGGGATTGACGGAGTTCTCCCCAGACGACAGGTCGCGGTCCCTGAGGGCATAGCGTCGGGGGAAGGAACGAACTTACACGTCAAGGACACCGTGAGGGGTCGGCGGATTCTCAGGTTGCGTTATAAAGGAGCCGTTGTGACGAGCCCCACGAATGACCAACAACGTCGAAGAACCGCAGTCCTCGAAGTTTCAGTAAAAATCTTATGAATACACGACGACGATCACGAACATGGTCGCGACCATTTCCACGACGACGGCGACGATGACGACGACGATGATGACGAGCACGACGCTGATGTCGAAGACGAACCCCGCGGCGTGCTTGCTTGCCGAGTCCTCGGGGAGGGCGAGGGAGGGGAATCGGGAGGAGGAGGAGGAGGAGGAGGAGGAGGAGGAGGAGGAGGAAGGAGGAGGCAGGAGGCAGGAGGTAGGAGGGAGGGGGCAGGAGGGAGGCGGTGGAGAAACGAGGAGGAGGAGAAGGGAGGAGAAGGAGGAGAAGGAGGAGGAGGATGCACTGGCATGGGCCTCGAGCCAGACGCCTACGTCTGCACTGTATGCTGTGTTTTTCTCTGGGTACGTTTGTCCTTTCCACGCTGTTCGGGGAAACTGCCGCGAGGGGACCAGACACTACGTAGACTGGTTCTTCGCTGTCGCGCGTGCTCATTTTCTCTGTGGGCGTCTCTTCTGCGTCACCCAGTGGCGCGACAGCAGCCCCTTCTCGAGAGGAGGGAGGTGCGGCGCGATAACGCGAGGATGGCCGCGGGGGTCGGTGTCTAAACTCCGTTGCGGTGCTTGTGCTGCGTCACGCAGAGTTGTCCGCGTGAGGTCGCGCGTGAGCGCCCACGTGATCGTTTGTTTGCGGGCTTGAGTTGGCTCGCATGGCACGCAAGTGCTCGGTCCATCGGAGAAGAAGCCCGCAGAGGCCCGGCCGAGACACTCGACGAGCAGACGCCCTACCTACATAAAATTGCCTGTCACGAGTCAAGGACAAAATGAAATGATCGTCACCATTGTGCGTTTCTGTGAGTCATGAAGTGATCATCATCCTTTCCCCCCGAGCCAGACTCGCCCTCGCATTGGTAGTGGTCGACGGCGACGACGACGACGGTCCACTCTGTCATTAGCGGCGGCCTGGCGGCAGGACGAGGTCCGGCGCAGCGGGGGCGCGCTGGGCGACTTGGGCGGGCTGGAGCACTGGAGAAGGCAACAGTGTGAGTTTCTGGTCTCGGGCGCACCGGGAGGGCTTCTTTGTCCGTGCCCGACCGTCTCCCAACATCCACCATTGACTACACGTAAGAGTGACCCTTCGCCGAAGCAGCTTTTGGTGCGGGCCTACCGGGGCCCGCCGATCGCTGCACGTAATTGCGATAGAGCGGCTTGCGCGCTTGGTTTTGCCCTCCCCCCCCTCAAGCCGCGCTTTAGAGGTTGCACGCATGTAGCCGAAGCATCCCCGCCGCTCGAAGCGCGTCGGCCAAGGGGGGGCGCCCGCAGAGAAGCCGTCCACGGACGCCAGGGAGTTGATGTTTGTGTTGTGTGTGCGTCTTTGCTTCCCAGGAGCAGGCGCTCTCGGAGTCGAAAGACTCGGGCAGCTCGGGCCAGGCCCACGGCGGGATGGCTCTTCCAAGGGACGGGGCTTGCTCTCCTCCTCCTCCTCCTCCTCCTCCTCCTCCTCCTCCTCCTCCTGCTCCTCCTGCTCCTGCTGCTCATCCGCCTCCTCCCCCTCCTCCTCCTCCTCCTCCTCCTCCTCCTCCTCCTCCTCCTCCTCCTCTTCCTCCTCCTCCCCCTCCTGCTCCTCCTGTTCCTCTTCCTCCTCCTCCTCCTCCTCCTCCTCCTCCTCCAAAGGGGAGCTCCACCGAAGGCTCCAGGGGCAGCGCCCGCATGCAGTTCCAACCCCTCCTGGCATACCCCTCACACGTTTCGCGGCCTCGTAGGGAGTTCCACGGAAGGCTCCAGTGGCATGCCTCGCATGCAGGTATCGTGGCCCCATATGGAGTTCCACCGAAGGCACCAGTAGCAGTGCCCGCATGCAGTTCTACCTTCATGGCTCCATACGGAGCTCCACACAACGCCCCAGTGGCAGCGCCCGCATGCAATTCCAACCTCCATTTCGGCACACTCCTCACGCGTTTCGTGGTCCTCAGGGAGCCCCACAGGAGGCACCACTGGCAGCGCCCGCGTGCAGTTCCACCTTCCATTTTGGCACACTTTCGTGGCCCCATAGGGAGCTCCACCGAAGGCCCCAGTGGCAGCGCCCGCATGCAGGTCCACCTTCATTTCGGTGCTCCCCTCGCACGTTTCGTGGCCCCACAGGGAGCTCCACCGAAGGCCCCACTGGCAGCGCCCGCATGCCCTCCATTTTGGCACACACACACACACACACACACACACCTCACACGTTTCGTGGCCCCAGAGGGAGCTCCACCGAAGGCTCCAGGGGCAGCGCCCGCTTGCAATGCCACCCCCATTTTGGCACACCCCTTACACGGTTCGTGGTCCCACAAGGAGCTCCACCGAAGGACCCAGTGGCAGCGCCTGCATGCAAGTCCACTTTCCATCCGGCGCGCGCCTCACACGTTCCGTGGTCCCATAGGGAGGTACACCTGAGGCCCCGGTGGCAGCGCCCACATGCGGTTCCACCCGCCATGTCGGTGAATTGTTTACTCGGTCCGTGGCCCCACAGGGGGCTCCACCGAAGGCCCCAGTGGCAGCGCCCGCATGCAGGTCCACCCTCCATCCGGCGCACGCCTCGCACGTGCCATGACTCCATAGGGAGCTACACCTGAGGCCTCGGTGACAGCGCCCAAAATGCGGTTCCACCCGCCATGTCGGTGAATTGCTCACTCGGTTCGTGGCCCCACAGGGAGCTCCACCGAAGGCTCTGCAGGGGCAGCGCCCGCATGCAGTTCCGCCCTCCTGGCCCCATACTGGCCCCATAGAGAGCTCCACCCAAGGTCCCAGTGGCGGCGCCCGCATGCAGTTCCACCCCCATTTCGGTGCATCCCTCACGCGCTTCACGACCCCGGAGCTCCACCGAAGGCCTCAGTGGCAGCGCCCGCATGGGATTCCACCTTCCATGTCGGCGACCCCCTCACACGTTCCGTGGCCCGATAGGACTATGCCATAGAGAGCTCCACCTCAGGCTCCAGGGGCAGCGCCCGCATGCAGGTCCACCCTTTATTCCGGCACACCACTCACACGATTCGTGGTCCGCTGGGCCCTCTCCGCCATTTCATTCCGTCTGCGACGCTCGAAGGCTCCAGTGGCAACGCCCGCATGGTGTCCCCGCCAGATCCCGGCACACAGTTCACGCGCTTCGTGGCCCCATAAGGAGATCCACCGATGACGATACTCACAACGACGGTATTCACCACTGCATATAGTTGGGCCCTTCGCCAGGTTAATGTTTCGGCACGCCCAGTTCAACGCTCCACGGCGAGCTCCACTGAAGGCTCCAGCGGCATGGTCCACATGGCAGCGCCGCCCCATTTTGCGCACCCTTCACATGGCGTGTAGCATTATAGGGAGCTCCACCGAAGGGCCCAGTGGCGGGAATCGCATGGCGGTGCCGCCCCATGTCTGCGCACTTTTCAGGAGCTCCACCGAAGGCCTCAGTGGCAAGGTCTACACGGTGGCGCCGCCCCATGTTTGTGCACCCCTCACACGGCTCGTGGCCCCCATAGGGATATCAGCCGAAAGCCCCCGCGGCAGTGTCCACATGGCGCCGCCGCTCCGTTTTGGCGAACTCCTCACACGGCTCGTGGCCCCATAAGGAAGTCCACCAACGGAACCAAGGGCAGGGTCCACATGGCGGCGCCGCCCCATTGGGCCGCACCCCTCACACGAGTCGTGGCCCCATAGGGATCATATCCGAAAGCCCCAATAGCAGAGCCCTCATGGCGACGCCGCCCCTTCTACGGCCCACATGGCGGCCACCTCCTCCTCCTCCGCTTCCTCAGCTTCCTCCTCCTTCTGTGCACGCTGCGGTCCGTAGCCATTGTGGCTCAAGATGGCAAGTCATCGCGAACTCACATGGATATTGCTAGTCCGCGGCCAGTTCCGTCAGCTTTGCAGCCACTTCCAGGGACGAGCTGCCGTCCGTTCCTGCTCATTGTTTTAGCGTTGCAGGCCGCCCACCATATCGCTTCGGGCCTCGCTCCGAGCTTCCATATCGCCTCGCCGAGCATCGTTCCGAGCCTCCATATCGCCTCGCCGAGCGCTGCTCCGAGCCACCATACCGCGCTGCCGCTCCTCGTCTCGAGCTACCAGCCGCCCGCCGTCATTGTCTCTATGCCGCGCGCGCTCGCTCCTCAAACACGCGCTGGCTTCGCATCGGAACTTGTTCGTGGCGTTCTGTGGGACACTCAAGCTCTCCACGTCGTACCCAGACATCATGGAGTCGTCTTCCCGCAGCTCCAGCTCGCATGTTCGCTCGGCTTCTCGCAGTCTGCCTTCATCGCAAGCCTCGCGTCGTCGACAACAGAAGGAACTCAGTGACCAAGCGGACCCTCGCGACCGTGACCAGGCCGCCCCCCGTCACCGTTATCACGTTGATGCCACTCGGGGACCTCCCGCCCGCCGTCGTTCATCTGGCCGAGCGGCGCCCCATTCCGATCGCTCGGCACGTGATACAGCTAGACCAACATCCGCGGGCCCGCCTGGCATTGGTGCTCAAGGCCCTGCCCATGGGCAAGGCCCATGACAGCACGCAGCCGACCTCGACAAGTTCCACGTCCACGACCCGTGCAAGCTCGCGGCCGACTGGGAAAATTTGCCAACGCCCCCCACGCAGCCAGATCACGATGCCCACCAGCCAGACCCACCGCCAGCGGAGCCGCCGCCGCTGGTCCTTGGCCCCGTTCCTGAGGCAGAAATAGTTCACCCCACACCGCCAGGTCCTCCTGAAGCTCGCTTCTCCGCTCTCGACCCTGCTCCCGACGCCGCACCCCAACGGCTCGTGCGTGACCGAGTTGCGCGCGCCGCCAGCGCAACCCAAGCTCGGGGCAGCGCGCTCCTCGACGAGTCTCGCGAAAGCTTCGCAGCAAGTTCTTGCCGCAGCGCGCCGCGTCGACGCCCGCCGCGACGTCGTCGCCCGCGCGCGCGGAGGGAAGATCGCCAGGCGTCCGAGCAGCAGCGCACGCGGCAGCAGGCTGGCCAACTGCGCGACGCGACACCCTGGCGCTCGCGGAAGCGCCGGCACCCATCGCTGGCCTCGCCGAGCTCGCCGAGTGAGACCGCACCCCCGACGCGACCCTCTTTCCCATCGGCCGCCGTCGCCCCATCGCGCCCAACGTCCTGCTCGACAACCTGCAGGAGCGGGCCGCCTCCGCCAATATGCCGCGCGACGCCGTCGAATTGCATGGGGGCGAACCAGCCGGGCGCTTCTTCCAACAGGTCAAGGGCGACAGCGCCATCGCCATTATTCGCGCCCTTCGCGCCCTGCGCGACCCGGCTGGCAAGTGGAAGCGGTTCGTACCCACTGCCGCGATTGGCGCCCGCGTCGACATCCACCTCAGCCCAGACAAGTCACCGACGCAGATCCGCACCGAGGCCCAATGCAAGAAGCTTACCAGGTCTACCAGCATCACTACCCCGATGCGCCATGGAGGGCCATCCACTCCAAGGGCGAGATCCACAGCAAGGCTATGCCAATTGCCCGCGCCGAGGTCAAGGGCCAAGCCAACCCGACCACCCTCGAGTGGAACGAGAACGCATTCGAGCACGATTTGTTCAGCGACATCGACCGCGGCGACGTTTTCTTTCCGTTTTAGGCGCTCTTCGCGGACACAGTGACCGCTTCGCGGCGCGTTTAATCACCCATGGTCGTCATGGCTGGCGACCGAGGGCAACGTCCAAGCACCTTAGCCACGTGGAACGCCGGGGCGCTCATGCGCCACAAGCGGAAGCGGAGCCGTCACCAGCAAGCTGCTCCAACGAAGTACACGAGGCGTCGCTGCGTCATCTTGCTCCAGGAGGCCCACGGCTCGGAGGCCCTGCTCCGCGCGCGGGTCGACGCGCAGCCATGCCCGCACAAGCTCTTCTTCTCCGAGTTCGTGGCCAGCGACGCTGGCGATGCGCGCCCAGGCACGGGCGGCGTTGCGACGCTCATCCCATGGCCCACTCGCACGCAGCTCGAGCAGCTCCGGCCGTCCCAGATCCCGCCCGACCGTCAAATGCAAGGAGATCGTTAAGGGCTGCGCCCAGACCGTCGCCATCACCAACGCTGTCACACGCAACGCAGCCGTCGTCATGAACGTCCGTAACCACGAGATTGATGCCAGAGGTCGCGGCCGCATTCAATGCGCCTGGCATGAGCACCGCGTCTGGGAAGAGGCCAGCTACCAGCGCCGTACCTCCATCGCTATAGGCGACGTCAACACAGCCAGCCGCCCGCCGAACAGCTTTCTACAGCCGCAGTCGCAGCATGCTTGTTTGGCTCTTGATAATAATGCGCGCCAGCAGCAGCCATTCTGGAACAGGCCTCTTCGACTCGACGCTCGAAGTCGAGTCTGAACTCCCGACCCGCTTCAACGAGTCCGACTTCGCCGCGCCCGCCGTCGACCGCATATTCATCAGCCTGCCGTCACGCGCCATGCCCGAGA